AATAGGAGCTTTTACAGCATACCTCTAACATATCACGCTAGAACCAACAGTAAAAATCATAATAAAACCCTCCACCTTCATCGCAAAACCATCGCATGTCCATCACCACCCCCTTCTCGGCCCATCACTAGCCACCGGCGCGCCACTCCCGCGAAGACGCCGCGCACGCCTCCAATGCAAGGACGATAAGCAACACATAGATGATCGCTGCCATTCCACCTTCATCCACGACCAGCTGGCCGTCCCGTGAGCCATCCACCTCTGCCCGCTATCGCTGCTAGTGTACAACCAGCCATGATGACACGCTCGCGCCCTCAGCCGTACAGCGCCTCTCTCGGTCGTTTTTGTGTGTTATACCCGAGAACGGTACATGATGGCTTGAAACCTCCTATTTTTATGTGTATATGTGTATAATGATGAAGTCTTTGGATTAATTGCATGTTAGGGTTTGATATGAAAGTGTTGTGTGGAGTTCTATGTTCATTTGAGTTGAAGTCTTGCTGCAACATGTTAAATGGCTAAACCCCATTTATTCTTATGTTTATGTGTGTTATGATAGTGTTCATGTGTTCATGTGTGCATATGATTCATGAATCAGTTGAAAATAGGTACAGAGCAGTGAGTTGTACTCGTTTTAGTAAAACATCGCATGGGCTAGAATCAGTTTTCATGCACCATCTTAGTTTAAGAAGTTAGCTTCTATTTCACTATTTGAATGACCTTTTATGCTTCTATGAGCTAAACAAAAGTTGTAGGTGCATGACTTATGATTCATATGCAAATGGAATTGTGCTTATATGACTTATGTGCTGAAAATTGTGTCTATTTTAAATTTGTTGTACATGCTGGATTTTTATAAAATTGTGTTTCGTTTTCAAAAATAGATATTATCTCTTAGAATATGCATGTATATGTGACCTATATGACTTATGTTGGATTGAATTAGGTTGGTATGAACCTTAAATTGAAATCATTGATCTATACCTTGAACCAAACGCCGACCTTGGCTGGGTGTAGTCACGCGAAGTGGTGGTCAGGCAGGCACGCTCGTGCTGAGAGATGTTAGGGCCGACCGTTGCCTCACACAAGAGCTGTAGCCTCCATCGTCGAATGCAGGAACTCCCCATGCCAGTGTGTACGGCCAAAACTCGACCTTACAGTTGGTCTCTGAATAGGTGCACACACGCATCCCAGCGCCCCGCTTATGCAGCGGCAGTGTGTGTGCCATCTCTCGGGTCACAGTGCATTCAACCTCGGACCGACCTTGTACTATTTGGGCCATTGAATCAGTACTCTTGGCCAAATTGTATTTTGATCTTTTGAACCGTTTCTCTTGAGTTTTGAACCGAGAACTCCAAGTTCCACCGAGCCATTGTATGAATTCCCTAATCAATGTTTCATGATTAAGGGAGGTTGGTCAATGAGTCCTTATGCCTTGTGCGAGATTTTACTCGAGTTAGCCAGGTAGAAGTTCCGTTTTGTTGTTGGGCGGAGTCTCGAGTCTCGATGGAGACTATGTATTCTTCATAGAGATTGAGACCTACGAAGAGTGAGAGGGTATTGGAGTTAGATCCTTAGTATGAGAATATCGAGCATCCCTAGTTGTGAGACCGAGTCTGTGAAAGGGGATCTTTTCCGAATATCTAGTCGATACTTCCTACACCACATGCGAGATGTTACTTGTGTCGACAAGGAATAAGGCATTGTCAACGATATCAAACATAACTGTGTGTTCTGAAGGTACCGGTATTGAGGATATGAGTTATTGATGATTTTTAGTCCAATTGCATGAGGTTCTGTGGCGGCCTGTTTGACAGGGACGCATGGATCATGTCGAGGTAGTAAACGAGTCTCCAGGCGTGACCCAAGCACGAGACTGAAGCTCGATGCTACAAATCAACCCTGTATAATTAGACAGTCGGAGTATACTATCGAGAAACGAAAAGACAGTTAGAGTCTTGTGTATTGATAGACGAGTATAATGTGAGGACTCCCTTACCATGGGTAGGTACGCTTGTAATGACGATGATCAAGAGACAATCCCGATGGTACCGCTCAAAGTTTTAGTTCGGACAAAGGTTTTATGCACCTTGTTTCCAGAAAGAGAGAAGGATACGGCTGTGGTTATTCAATCCTATTATGATTCCAGAAAGAGAGAAGGATACGACCATGCATATTCAATCCTATTATGATTCTTGACCAAGTCGATGACTTAGCCTGATGGTTGACTCCACCACCGGAGCTTGCGAGGATGCAGAACACGTTTTATGCCTCATGATAGAGGAAAAATGTGCGTGATCTCGGGGTACATGTGAACTGTGACGAGCTGCATGATGTGCAGAACCCTATCTGTATAGAGGTACTAGTGACTTATTGGAACAGAGGGTCTGTCAGCGAAAGGCCGGGAGGGGTACTCGTCAAAGTCTAGTGGGGGTTGTCAAGGCGAGGGCAAGGCTACTTGGGAGAGGGAGACCGAGATTCAGAGGAGGTACCCGAATTTCATGTGTTCATATTTTCCTTTTTATTCTCGATTGTATCATGTCGTAGTTTGTTTTTGCAATCCGAGGATGGAACTTTCTTTAAGGAGGGTAGAATGTGATGCCCCATATGAATATTGGATTTTTTCAATTTTATATTTATTAATAGCATTTTTATTTTACTACTTATATGAATTGATTATGTGGTTATATATTATATTATTGAGTAAATAATATAATTATATAGCTTGTTCGAATTTGATATAGGATATTATACCCACAAGGTTAAACCGACAAATAGACCGGTCAAGGAAGTCGTATTATGAGGAAGACAAGGAAATCAAGCAGTTAATCAGTCGACCAAGCAAAGTTGTCGACCAAATTATCTTTAGATTAGATGAACGATCGAGCAGTCCAGTCAGCCTCGATAGGTCGACCACTTCGAGGACTTAACACCACGCGGATCGGCCTAGTAACATGCGCGTGAGAGAGCCCCTAACTGAATTCCAGGAGAATATTTACCCGATGTGCAGGGGGACACGTGTCGAGAAGGCAGTGGTTGATAGCGATAACTGCCTCTGACAGCCTACCCCATGTGCAGGAGGACACGCGTCCAAAGGGGATTAGTGCATGCAATAGTGGCGACGGCTACCTCTTATACACGCGTATGGTGTGTACGGACGGGCAGCTAGGGCAGACAACTCACCAAATTCGGGCAGCCCTAGGTCAGGTATCTCACCCCTATATAAAGGGGGTGAGCCTTTCTTATTCAACACGATCATTCTATTGTCTACTCTTGAGAATTGATTGAACATACACTGACTTAAGCTTTGGAGGCTCTTCACCGGAAAACCCCTCAGGTGTTAGAGTTCTTTGTAGGTGCACGACGTTCAACCGACGAGAAGGAAGGCGATTATTCAAGTTCCAGCCGGTCGGGAATTTTTGTGTTACCATTTGGCGCCGTCTGTGAGACTTTCGTTTGAAAAGGTGTGCTTGAAGCTCAGCTATGGCGGACGGAATTCCCAAAAACTTACAGTCGATGTTCGATGATGCTTGGACGACGGCCAGGCCATGGGGACAAGGTCCTCCTCCGGGTTTTTCTGGCCCTTTGCAGGCGCCGATCACTCCTGCACCTGTGCTCCAAGGTGTGGGAGCGACGACAGCGATTCGCGGAGGAGATCCCAGCTCCCATCGGGCCTAGGAGATGTGCGCAGCAGTTACGGCGGCGATGCGGCCGCCGCCGTCCCAAAATCCAACGGTGACGCAACCAGGAGGAGCGGGAGCGCAACCGGGAGGAGCATCGTCGCGAGCGTCGGTTCAGGTTCCCGACCAGCAGGTGGTAATGACCAGACAGGAGATGCAACAAATGGTGGCGGAGGCAGCTGCGCAGGCGGTGCAGCAAGTCACAAGCAATCTCTCTCGGGCTACCGCGATGCAGAACACTGTTGCAGGGTCATGCCAAAATGCAGAAGAGGATGAATCCAGCTATGGCGGAGGCGGGCCCCCACATGACCGGGAGATGGAAAGAATGGCGGAACAACTGCATCAATTGCAGGCTAAGCTGGTGGTCAAACGAAGAGACGTGCTCGAGGACACCCGTTCTCGGCGAACATACTAGCAGCGCCCTTGGCAATTACTTACAAGGATACCAACTTGGTGTTCGATGGGACTTCTGACCCGTCGAGGCACGTGAGAACCTTCAAAAATATGGCCGTGTTGCATGGATATACGGACCCCGTTAGTTGCAGGGCATTTCTATCTACCCTCAGGGGAGACGCCCTCGATTGGTTCCAGTAACTCCCTTCGTGTTCGATCACAGACTTTGAGGATTTCACGGAGAAGTTGACGAATCAATACTCAAGCGCGGTGGCTCAGGAGAAGACGTACTTAACCCTGATGGCGATGAGACAAGGAGAGAAGGAGTCACTGCGCAAATACGTAGCCCGATACAATCAAGCTTGTTTAGAAATTCCGTCGGCAATCGATGAGGTCAAGGCGGGAGGATTGATTAGGAGTTTGCGGGCAGGACCATGTCAGACCTCTCTGGCTAAGACCCCTGCTCATACGTATGATGAGGTGTTGAGGAGGTGTAGGAAATATATTAATCTCGAGGAGACTGAGGCGGAGTTTACTAAACTAGAGGAGTTGGGTCGAGGGGAGTCGAAAAAGGAGAAAGCAGTTTCGCCTAAGAGGAGAGCCTCGCCCAGGAGAGAAGGACGAGCTAAGCAGAATCGGGGACGAGAGGAGAGATGGAAGGACCGACCCATCTCTAGGGGGAAAAGATTCCATGATTATACCCCGTTGAACGCGAAGGTAGCCGAGGTCTTAATGGCTATGGAGAAAGGGATAGATGGGAAAGAGGTAACATGGACGAGGTCGAGGTTCGAAGGGCCAACTCAACCGAAGTCGAGGAGATATTGCCGCTTCCACAAAGACTATGGCCATACTACTGAGGATTGTCGACACCTCAAAGATGAAATCGAGCGCCTTATTCGAGCAGGGCATCTCAAGGAGTTTGTCTATCAGGACAAGGTGAGGGGGAAGGAGAAGAGGAGGTGTCGGGAGGAATCGGTGGAGAAGAGCGATGAAGATGATGAGGATCCACGAGGTGGTCGAGAAGGGTGAAGGAGAGATGAAGGGAAAAGGAGGCGAGGGAGTAGGGAGCGAGAGAGACCAGGGGATGGAGGCCAAGTGAAGAGGGGCACGATATATATGATTTCAGGAGGACCGATGGATGGAGACTCGAATAATGCGAGGAGGGGTCATGTTCGAGTAGTAAAGAGGAAAAGGGAGGAGGTGGGTATCACGGCCCGAGAGAGGATGCAACAGGGGTGGTGATACCTCACATGATGCCTTAGTGATTACGGTAGAAGTTGCAGGTTTTGATGTGAAAAGAGTGTTTATAGACACAGGAAGTTCGGTCGATGTCATGTTCTATGATTGCTTTGTGCAAATCAATCGGGAGTTGAATGTGGAGCTAAAACTGGTAGCTACGGCCTTGTATGGTTTTAATGGTGGGGAGGTTGTGCCCATGGGAGAAGTGAGTTTATGTGTAGCATTGGGGAAAGGAGCGACAAGGAAAGTTCGAATGGTGAGATTTGTGGTCGTAGGAGCTGAATCATCCTACAACATCATAATGGGGAGAACGAGCCTGAACGCGTTCCATGCGGTCGTATCCACGTACCACATGACGATCAAGTATCCGGTGGGCGAAAACGTTGGTGAGATCGCTGGGGATTAACTTACCTCGAGAAGTTGATACCAGACCACTGTGAGCAACAACAAACAGTTAGCAAGGAGACAGGAGCACTCTAAAGGGGAGGAATTTAATCGACCAAAAGGGTGGAGGTCGAAGGAGGAGAAACATAAGTTGGAGAAGGGGAAAGGGAAGGTAGATATCCAGCCGGGTGGCGAGGTTGAGGAGATACAGATGGTCGAGGGATACGAAGAGAGGAAATTTCAGATCAAGAAGGAATTGGAGGAGCCAGTGAGATCGAGGCTGATTAGTGTGATAAGGGAGTTTGCGGATGTGTTCGCATACTCGACGGAGGAGTTGACTGGCATCAAGGCTGAAGTTATTGAGCACAGATTGAACATCGACCTCACTGTGAGACCGGTAAAACAAAAAAGGAGACATCACTGGGCAGAAATGGATAAAGTAATCGAGGCGGAGGTAGAAAAACTCTTGGTGGCAGGTCATATAAAGGAGATCCAATTCCCAGAGTGGCTATCGAACACGGTTATGGTCTCAAAGTCAGAGGGGAAATGGCGGATGTGCATAGATTTTTGAGATTTAAACAAGGCATGCCCGAAGGATTTATACCCACTGCCCAGGATCGACCAGCTAGTCGACTCTACAGCCGGGTGTGAGCTACTCAGCTTGATGGATGCATCCCAGGGTTATCATCAGATTCTGTTGGCTCGAGATGATTAGAAAAAGGTCTGTTTCGTAACAAGCCGTGGAACATACTGTTATGTGGTGATGCCATTCGGTCTAAAGAATGCAGGAGCAACATATAAGAGGTTGGTGGATAAAATCTTTAAGGATCAGCTGGGAAGGAACATGGAGGTGTATGTGGATGATATGCTGGTGAAGAGCAAAGAGGAAATCGACCATGTAAACGACTTGAAAGAAACATTAATGACCCTCGGGAAGTATGGGATGAAGCTGGATCCCGCTAAATGCTCATTCGGGGTCAAATCTGGGAAGTTTTTAGGCTACATGGTCACGAAGAGGGGAATTGAGGTCAACCCGGAGAAAGTAAGGGCGGTGGTTGAGATGCAGTCCCTCACGAAGGTGAAGGAAGTGCAGATCCTAACTGGTCGAATAGCAGGCCTGAGCAGCTTTATCTCTAAGGTAGCTGAGGAAAGCAGGCCCCTGTTCAAGACACTCAGGAGAAGCTCGAAATTCCAATGGACAGAAGAAGCCCAAAAGGCATTCGAAGAGTTGCAGAAGGTGCTGGTTGACCTTCCATTATTGGCAAAACCAGTGCAAGGGGAGGACTTGGTGTTATATGTGTCCATTGATGAGACGGCAGTGAGCTCGGTGTTATTGCGGGAGGAAGGAATAGCCCAATTCCCTATCTATTACGTGAGTAAGGTGATGCAGGGGGCAGAGAGGAGGTACTCGGAGATTAAAAAAGGGGCCTTAGCAGTGGTCGTCACTGTCAGAAAGCTGAGACCATATTTCTTGGGACATAGGGTGAAGGTCCGGACGAATATGCCATTGGGAGAAATGCTAGGTCGACCCTCCGTGTCGGGTCGATTGGTCAAGTGGGCAGTCAAGCTGAGTGAATACACTATTATCTATGAGCCGAGGAGGGCAATTAAGGCTCAGGCACTGGCCGATTTTATACAAAAAAGGACGAAGGAGAGTGAGGAGTCTGAAGGGGTGTGGCAGGTGTTTGCAGATGGATCGGTGTCGAGGGCCAGGGGTGGCCTAGGCATCGTGCTTATGTGGCCAAAGGGTGACAGCATCGAGTTTGCAATCAAAGTGGCCTACCAGATATCAAATAACGAAACGGAATACGAAGCAGTCGTTAAGGAACTCAAACTGTCCTTAAATGGCAGAGCTCGAAAAGTGCAGATACATTCGGATTCACAATTGGTGGTGGGTCAATTCCAAGAAGGGTTTGAGGTCCGGGAAGAAAGGATGGTGAAGTATGTGGAGGAGATAAAGAAACTACAGGGGGAGTTTGATTCTTTCGAGTTAATCCAGGTACCTCGAGGAGAAAATGCTCGAGTGGATCTGTTAGCTAAAGTGGCACAAAGTCTGGTAGATTGCAAGAGCAGGAGTGTGACCTTGCTACACATGGAGAAGAGTGTGGTCGAGAAGGTGGTGGTCGTGATAGAAGAGGTCGAGGATTGGAGGGCACTGATAATCAAGAATTGAAGGAAGGAGTCGTTAAAGTAATATGGAGATTTTTTGAGCACGGAGGGATTCTCTACAAAAGATCGCACGCGGGCCCCCACTTGCGATGTGTAACCGGAGAAGAAGAGCGATATGTGTTGAAGGAGATCCACGAGGGAAGTTGCAGTGACCACAGCAAGGCAGGTTTCCTGGTGGCAAAGGCTCTAAGGGAAGGATATTTCTGGCCAACGATGAGGGAAGATGCAAGAGCGATGGTGCAGAAATGTTTGCAATGCCAGAAGCACGACCCAATTATTCACCAACCAGCCGAAGCTATGACGAAAATGAGTTCTCCCATCCCGTTCGCCCAATGGGGGATCGACTTGGTTGGACCCATGCCCTAAGGAACTGGACAGAGAAAGTTTTTTATTGTCGCGGTCGACTACTTTACGAAGTGGGTGGAGGCTGAACCTCTGGCAAAGATCACGGAGGAGAAAGTGATACATTTTCTATATAAAAACATATGCTGCAGGTTTGGAGTTCCTAAAGTGCTGGTGTCGGACAACGGGACCCAATTCAATGGCAAGCGGATTCAGGCATGGTGCGAGGACATGAAAATCGAGCAACACTTTGCTTCAGTCGCGCATCCGAAAGCCAACGGGCAGGTCAAAGTGACCAACAGGATCATACTGAACTGTATGAAAACAAGGCTGGAGAAGGCATCAGGAGCGTGGGTGGATGAACTTACTTCGGTGCTATGGGCATACAGACCAATGCCCCGATCGACCACTGGGGAAACACCGTTACGTATGGTGTATGGAATGGAAGCTTTGTTGCCGGTGGAGGTCGAAGTTCAGTCCCAAAGATCGAGCACGTATGATCGAGAATAGAATGAACATTTGATGATGGCAGCGCTCGACACGATTGAAGAGCTTCGAGAAAGAGCCTCAGTCAGAGTCGAGGCATACAAGCAGAGGATGCGGGCAGCGCATGATAGAAAGGTGAAGGTACGAAGATTCCAAGTGGGTGACTTGGTGTGGAAAAGAGTCGATGTGTTGAAGCATGTCGAAAAATTAGAGCCGAACTGGGAAGGACCATATCTGGTCGAAAAGGTCCATGCTGGAGGGGCATACTCTTTAAAGGATGCTGAAGGAAGATCTCTAGCCAGGTCATGGAATGTGGCTAACTTGAAGAAATATTATGCTTAAAATTTTTCTTTTTACTCATAGAGCAACTCACTAGCATTAATGTAATGAACTTCTTAGTTTGATAATCAATGAAATGGCGTATTGGAGTCTTTACAATTTACTGTTTATCGAATTATTTCTATATAGCTGGAATCCTTGGATTAACCTTGATGACAGGTTATATGAAAAAATCCATCCGGATTAAGGCCATGAGGCTGGATGGTCGTATGTAACGACCACCCCTTGGAGGGTGGGCATGCGTTCGAAGAAAAAACCCATCATCATTATGGTCATGAGGCTAGATGGTCGTATGTAACGACCACCCCTTTGAGGGTGGGCATGCGTTCGAAAAAAAATCCATCATGATTAAGGCCATGAGGCTGGATGTTCGTATGTAACGACCACCCCTTTGAGGGTGGGCATGCGTTCGAAGAAAAAATCCATCATGATTAAGGCCATGAGGCTGGAAGGTCATATGTAACGACCACCCCTTTGAGGGTGGGCATGCGTTCGAAGAAAAAACCCCTCAGGATTAAGGCCATAAGGCTGGAGGGTCGTATGTAACGACCACCCCTTTGAGGGTGGGCATGCGTTCGAAGAAAAAACCCCTCATGATTAA